GTCTTCCATTCATCCCCTTGACGGATACGGACCAGGTGATAGGCGTTCCTAAGGTCAAGCTTGGTGAACAGGGTTGCCTCTTGGAGAGGTTCAAAAGCAGAGGTGAGAAGGGGTAATGGGTACTTGTTCTTAACAGTGATGTTGTTTAACCCACGAAAGTCAATGCAAGGTCACAGTGACTTATCCTTCTTGCCAACAAAGAAGAAACCGGCACCCACGGGGGAGGAGGAAGAACGAATAATCCCAGCAGCCACTGAGTCAGTGATATATAGCTCCATAGCCTCCTTCTCAGGACGGGACAGGTTGTAGAGGCGGCTGGTGGGTAGAGAAGCCCCAGGAAACAGATCTATAGAGCAGTCGTAGGGCCGGTGAGGAGGAAGAGAGAGAGCCCTCTCCTTGCTGAAGACCACTCTCAGGTCGTGATAGGTCGCAGGAACTCCAGTCAAGTCTACAGAAGCAGCAGAGTTTGGGGAGACAGAGACAGGAGGCACGGCAGATAATAGACAGTTAGCGAGACAGTGCTGATCCCATTCAATGATCCTTCCCTTAACCCAATCAATGTGTGGGTTGTAGGTGCGAAGCCACGGATAACCCAATACCAGAGGTGTGGAAGGTGCAGAGATTACCTTTAACTGGATGAGCTCTCTGTGGTTGCCGGAGGTGATCAATGTCAAAGGGGCTGACTGTGCTGTTACAGAGGAGATTATTTGCCCATTAAGTGCATAGGCTGTTAGAGGTTCATCTAACGGCTCCAGGCAGAGTCCCAACTGTTCAGCTAGCTCACGGTCCAAAAAACTATCCTCAGCACCAGAATCAATGAGAGCTTGGATAGGCAAAGTCATAGTATTTACACAGATCTTGGCGGGTATTAGAAAACGGCACAAAGAAGGGGGTAGAGATGATGGCTGTGGACTCGTCAGGACCCCCAATCTCACTGACGAGCTCCCACGTTTGGGCGTACTGGACAGTTGGCAATGACATGCCCGGCGTTGCCACAATACATGCATTGGCCAGCACACGCCCGACGTTGACGCTCCTCCGGAGATAGTCTAGCGCGACCCAGTTGCATAGCTTCCTCGTGAGAAGAGGTGCGCCCGCTGGGCGGCGAGAAAACGGAGAGAGACTCTAAACACAGAGGGAACAGGATAGGTGGAAAAACTGGGCTTACTGTGTGAGACTGGTGGATTCCGCTCTGTCCGCTCAGCTCTGCGCTCCCGCAAACGACAGTCCAGGCGGGACACCAAGGAAATCAGATCTTGGAGATCCGCTGGAACGTCTCGTGCCGCTAATTCATCCCGGAGCTGATCCTTTAATCCTCTCAAAAACACCACCTTGAGAGCCGCCTCGTCCCATCGAGCCTCTGCAGCAAGTGTGTGAAACTCGATAGAATACTCGGCCACACTCCGGTTTCCCTGTTGTAAACCGAGCAGCTGATTCTCGGCGGAGCCAGAATAATTGGGATGATCAAACACAGCAGAAAAACGCTCTGAGAAGCATTCAAAACGCAGATTGTCATAGTCCACTGAAGAGCTCAAAGCCTCTGCCCAGGTTAAAGCCTTGCCACGGAGCAAACTCAGAACATAATTAATCCTGGTAACATCAGCTGCAAACGAAACAGGACGCTGGCGAAAAACTTTGTTACACTGGAAAAGAAATCCTCTGCATTTCTCCACCTCACCATGGAATGGTTCAGGGTCGGTGATGGGGAAATCCTGGCGTGGAGTAGGAAAAAGAGCTGGATTAGGAGTGGCATGAGAAGCTGCAGCCGAGGTAGTTAGAGCTGAGATCTGGCAAGCTAACTCAGAGACATGATGAGCCATGGATTGATTGCTCTCGACTAACGCCCGAATGAGCTGGTCGTGTTGACCCAGAAGGGAACCCTGACTAGACAGGGCATGGTGGGATCCGCTCCAGTGCCTGCGGGGTTCATTAACGGCCAGTTCTTCTGTTACGCTTCCCGAGAAGTGACTGAAGAAAAGAACCCGCTACGCAGACACTTAGACGGAAACAGTGGTGAAGTGTCAAATAATAGTCTTTATTTGACCACGGCACAGGCAAGGTGTAGAGAGGAGCTCAGAGCTGGCGAATGTAGTCAGGATGTGCTGGTGTGCGTGGAGGCACGGAGGAAACACCGGCGTGGAGAGCCGGAGATCCAGAGCTGGTGAATGTAGTCAGGATGAGCTGGTGTGCGTGGAGGCACGGAGGAAACACCGGCGTGGAGAGCCGGAGATCCAGAGCTGGCGAATGTAGTCAGGATGAGCTGGTGTGCGTGGAGGCACGGAGGGAACTCAGACGAGGAGTCGGAGGCTGGACGTGGCAAGCAGAGCGGCAGGTGTGTGTGGATCACTGAAGAATAAACGAAGAACTGGCGAAGTCTGAGGATGGGAACCAGGGTTTTAAGCAGGTGCAGGTGAGTAGTGGCAATCAGTGAGATGAACAACAGCAGTGGAGATGAGTTGGCGGGAATCAGAATGTAGGTCAGCCACGCCCAGCCAGGAAGACAAACAAACATAGAAGTGGAAAAGAAGGAGGAAGTACTGTAGATCCTCACATAAAGTGTCCAAAACCCCTCTAAACCAGCAAACTAATCCAGCCTAATATTGACCAGCCAGACCAGCCTTGTTGGTCTAAACTGTTTTTTTCAGCAGGGATGGGAGGGCAGACAGTACGTGGTATTTTATACTGTATACATAACCTATTCATTGTTAAATCATGCCCAAACACAAGTGTTCTTAATGCACAAGAGAAACAAGGTTTTCAGACAAACAAACAAAAATATAGTATAAAACAGCAGAAAATATTCATGATACCCTAGAATTCTGTTTACTGTAAGTACAGTAAAAGTACTTAGTTATAATTCAGTACACAAATGACATCATCCATCTCTTAAGAGAGCTAAAGGTGACCTGTGCAGCAACACATTTCAAGAAGTATCTGTCAATACTAAGAGCCGCTAGATTGTGCTGCTGTATTGGAATATGTATGCAAGGAGAATAAAAACATACCATGTGGTCCAGCTGGAGTTTCATCTGCCTCCTGATCCCTGCCTCTGTCCCTCTTTCTGACACTACAAAACACAGTTTCATAACAAAGTTTCATATGCTGAAGCCGCAGAACAGGTATCACAAAGCATGACAAGGAAATCCCAAGTAGCAGCAAGTATATTCTCTTCAAAAGATTTTCCCAAACTCCCACAGGCAAAGAAAAGCTCCACAATATGTTCACATAAATGTGTCATAGGCATTGATTGTTAATAAACACCATTTTGTGGCCTTCAATCTTGGCCTTGAAATCTTCAGGTTCCATGAAATCTTTTCTATAAATGAGTCAGCAAAAATCTTGCCTAGGGCAGCAAATTGCTCAGAACCGGCTCTGGTGTCATCCCCATAGTACCCCCCATTTGAAACATGTTCCCACGGCTATGAACAACAATACGCCCAAGCTGCCCCTCCTTAAAAAAAAAAAGTACAGCTTGTTCTTGTTCTATCAGATGTTTAAGGATTCCACATGTTTTTGCACGTTCCTGTTTATATTCTGCCTCGTGTTTGTTCTACGCAGGAGTGGTGAAATTTGTAGTAATCCTAGTAGATTTTGTGTCATCACTAGGCAAGGCCAGGCAAGTTTATTTATATAGCACCTTTCAACACAAGGCAATTCAAAGTGATGCCTGATCACACAAGATTTAAAAAGGTTCACTGTGAAACACACACGCACGCACGCACGCACGCACGCATGCACGCACGCACACACGCACACACACACACACACACACACACACACACACACACACACACACACACACACACACACACACACACACACACACACACACACACACACACACACCTGTGTGCTTGGGTCTCTGCTCTGCCTTGCTGACAGAACGGCTGCAGCCATGAAGTAATCTTCAGGTTCCATTAAATCTTTTCTAGCCCCGTTGCTACATTTTTTTCTATGAACAACAATACGCCCAAGCTGCCCCTCCTTGTTGCAAAGTAACATTCACCACTTTTCCAATGAAGGCATCAAAATGGTGTTTATTAACAATCAATGCATCCTCTCCTATGACACATTTATGTGAACATATTGTGCAGCTTTTCTTTGCCTGTGGAAGTTTGGGAAAATCTTTTGAAGAGAATATACTTGCTGCTACTTGGGATTTCCTTGTCATGCTTTGTGATACCTGTTCTGCGGCTTCAGCATATGAAACTGTGTTTTGTAGTGTCAGAAAGAGGGACAGAGGCAGGGATCAGGAGGCAGATGAACCTCCAGCTGGACCACATGGTATGTTTTTATTCTCCTTGCATACATATTCCAATACAGCAGCACAATCTAGCGGCTCTTAGTATTGACAGATACTTCTTGAAATGTGTTGCTGCACAAGTCACCTTTAGCTCTCTAAGAGATGGGTGATGTCATTTGTGTACTGAATTATAACTAAGTACTTTTACTGTACTTACAGTAAACAGAATTCTAGGGTATCATGAATATTTTCTGCTGTTTTATACTATATTTTAGTTTGTTTGTCTGAACACCTTGTTTCTCTTGTGCATTAAGAACACTTGTGTTAGGGCATGATTTAACAATAAATAGGTTATATATACAGTATCAAATACCACGTACTGTCTGCCCTCCCATGCCAACCTGGCAGGACCTCTTGCCCCCTCTTTGCTACCCCATGTAAAATGTTCTAGAACCCCCACTGGTATGGTACACCTGCACCTACACACACACACCTTGAATACATGATTATACTTGTAAGTTTCGCATAAAATAATTCAAACAGGACCCTGGAAAGGTGTGGACATGAAGAGTCACTGCTCAGAAATAATTTTGGAAAGTCTCCAAAAAAAGTTGGTCTTGTGATCAAAGAAAAATAATTCAACTTTATATAATTATTTTGTCTCTTTAAGTGTTTGTCTGTAGCGCGAAGACTATCTGGAATGGCCAGAGTACTATATATAGTCTGTCAACTCAGAGGATTAATGACCTTCGTTTCATAGATACTTTTGTTATTGGCAAAAATATGTGCAAGAAAATAAGCTCCGTAGGGGGAGGCTCTAAACATTAATTTAAAGGGCGGCAACTAGGAAGAACCTATCCTGTGTTGACTTCATTTAAGGTGGAGCTTTCTTCCACTGCTAACTTAACGTTCAACTAACTGTCAGCAGCGTACAGTCCAGAGAGAGGCACAGACTGTGAGGGGTCCAGCATCAGAACACTATGGCAGGAAAACCAGCTCAACCTAATGAGTAAGTAGTTCAAACTGTTACAATAACTTGAAAGTATTTGAGTGGATGTAAACAGTTATATTTTACATCTTCATTTGTTACAGTATACTTTTGATAAATAAGTAAGCCTACTGTCAGCACTAATGCTGAAACATCAATTAGGTCATTAATTTGTTGGAAACCTTAATTAATTACATGTTTTTATTATCAAGTAAGTAAAACCTCACCACCAGGAAGTTACTGCTCCCTGCATTTCATAAGAACATATTTATTACTTTATTAAAATAAAGTTCAGATGCTTATCCATATGACTTACTTTTAGGTAAAGTCACAAGTCAAAGAGCTGCTGGACATGCTGCCAAAACTGATTTGACCGAATTAAGCAAAACCGTACTTCCAGACAAAGCTTTTGCTCAAACCCAAAGGACAAAAGGGAGATATCAGTAACAACTGCAGCCTGTTCCACTGGTGTGTGTAGGAGTAGTAGACTGTTTAACTATATTTTGATGAATGTCAAAATCAGAAAGGAATTTAGTTTTCACATGGAAAGTCTCCAAAACATGTTCGTCTTGTGATTAAAGAGAAAAATTCAACTTTACATAATTTCTGTCTTGTTGTGTGTTTGTCTGTAGCAACGGGGCTAGAAAAGATTTCATGGAACCTGAAGATTACTTCATGGCTGCAGCCGTTCTGTCCGCAAGGCAGAGCAGAGACCCAAGCACACAGGTTTGTGTGTGTGTGTGTGTGTGTGTGTGTGTGTGTGTGTGTGTGTGTGTGTGTGTGTGTGTGTGTGTGTGTGTGTGTGTGTGTGTGTGTGTGTGTGTGTGTGTGTGTGTGTGTATGTGTGTGTGTGTGTGTGTGTGTGTGTGTGTGTGTGTGTGTGTGTGTGTGTGTGTGTGTGTGTGTGTGTGTTTAACAGTGAACCTTTTTAAATCTTGTGTGATCAGGCATCTAATAATTATACGAATAATAATGTTACCCATTGCCCATTACCCATGAGTATTATGATAATGGTGATGTGGAAAATACTTATTTTAACAATATTCCACTATAATCTTTACTAATAAGTGATAAGTAAAATATTAATGATACAGTTGTTGATATTTATTTCTGTGGAACAATTGTTTTATTATTCTGGAAGTAAAAATTGAATCTATTCGATCAATTATTAATAAATATATGTAGTATGTGAAGCCCTATCGCCGATGTAGTACTTAAAAGAAGTTCAGCTAGACTAAACTCTGGAACACCTCACCCCCTTTGCAGGTTGGGGCGTGTATTGTGAACCAGGACAAAAAGGTAGTTGGCGTTGGTTACAATAAGATGCCAAACGGCTGTGAAGATCACATGCCGTGGTCCCGCTCTAAAGGTGAAGATGCTGCCGCCGCTGTTTGGGCTAATGGCGGTGACCTCACCGTTGCTACTGCTGCCAGGGTTGCTGCTGCTGCTGCTGAAACTAAGCTGGACACTAAATACATTTATGGTGAGGACGCACACACACTTCATCCTTTTTGCTTAACTTTTAGATTTGATTTTTTTCTGAAATCAAATCCAAAATGTAGAATAGTTTTACCATTAAAATTCCTTATGATAAAAATGTTTACGAGAAATGTATATTTTTTACATATTAGAAGAAGAAGAAGAAGAAGATTCAACTTATTGTCATCACGTAGTACAGGTACTATGTAACAAAACGGTTTCTCTGCATTTGACCCATCCTAGTGTTAGGAGCAGTGGGCTGCCATTATTTACGGCGCCCGGGGATATGTGATGGTGGTGAGGAATGATAATATTATAGTTGGATTAATACAGAGGATTCATCTTTTGTTGTTGTTGCAAGTATAGAAGGGATGGATAGAATGACACAATAGAGACGTTAAGCTTTTATTTTCATTGTTTCATTGGGCAGATGTCCTACCAAATGTACAATATTATGAATGTCACCAGGGGTGTCGATGGTGTGTTAGGAGAGGTCTATTCCTTCGGTGATAAAGAAATCACACTATCATTGGAGCACATGTATATCATGCATGTCTGATTGTTTATAACTTGTTTGTTATACAACATAAATACATTTCAGACAAGGCACTTGCATGCCCTCTATTGATGGGTCCCGTCTCCCCCTCTCCCCCTCTGTCCCGCAGTGTGCCACGCAGTGCTCAACGCCATCATGGACAAGAACAGCGCTGATGTGAAGGGCTGCTCCATCTATGTGACCCTGTTCCCCTCCAACGAGTGTGCCAAGCTGATCATCCAGGCTGGTGAGTCCCTGCAGCACGCACACACGCACACACACACACGCACACACACACACACACACACACACACACACACACACACACACACACACACACACACACACACATACAAACACACACACACACACACCACACACACACACACACACACATACACACACACACACACACACACACACACACACACAAACACACACACACACTTCAGTCAGTTGTAACTATTGGTAGACTGATCATTATCATTATGGCAAACATTTGATTCATTGATTCGAGTGAACAAATATTTTGATGCACTTTTACAGTTGAATAAACTGAGTGCTGCTTTCACTCCCATCAGTCAAAAATGTTGTCCCTATCAATACTGATGACAGATTTATTCTGAGTTACTCCACTTCTTATTCTCCTTTTCTCTCTTTTACTTTAACTGCCATGATTCTGCTATAAAGATTAATAAGTTATTTCTGTATCCAGGTATGAAGGAAGTCGTCTATCTTTGTGATAAGTACAATACTTCTCTGGAAACACAAGCCGCCAAACGGATGTTTAAACAGGCAAAGATACCATTCAGGTGAGACACACACACACACACACACACCAATCCTTGTCTTTATTGCATGTTGGGGTACCTGACCAGACCATCCCTTTTGGGATCCACCCTTTCTGAAGTTTGTACTGGGTTTTGGGAATGGGAATGCATTGAATAAACAAGGAAGACCCTATTCCACTAATGCCCGTATCATACCCTGATCATTGAGTTTGTTGTTTTTTTTTCCTCTGTGTGTTTTTGCAGGGAGTTCCTCCCCAAGGAGACTGAGGTTGTCCTTAAACTCAAGAGCGTCTGAATGAGGCGAGGAATGAAGAGGATGACTTGATAAGATTAAAACTTGTTTCATCAAATGCGTTGGTTGTGTTCTACTTTATATATATATTCTTTTTAAACCCATTGACATTTTTTAAATGGGCATCTGCTTAACTGCCAAGCAAAATATGAAAACGTTAAGCGAAGCTCTAACTGCATCTGCCATAGGGCCTTACAGCAGGCCAATGAGTAAGACCTGGTGACCTAAATAGTCCGATTGAGCTAAAAAACAAATCTTAATTTTGATGGAGCTTGTTGAGGATAAATTACCAAGGCCTCAGCCGTCTACTCCTATAGTCAGCGTTCAGGCATGCAACCTCAGTCGCTCCTTTCTCTCTTTCTAATAATTGTAACACTTTTTATTTTATTTTATATGTTTTATTTCCTGGTATCTAAAGGCGTAAAACATGTCTAATCCCTGGATCATAATCATAGGCTACATATGTGTGATCATCATACATCATTGTTTGCCAAAGTTACCTGCTATGAAGATGAACAGTTTAAAATCTTTGTCTTCATAACATTCTGTGTCTCCACACCTTCATTCCTTTAACCGTGTCAGCTCTCAGTTGAAGTCAATACAACATTTGGACGGCATGATCTAATGTCCACTGTGTTCATTATTTAAATTGCATTTATGATGTAATAGATAAAAGGGTTTCTTTAATTAAATGACAAATGCATACAGCTTGTCATTCAGGACATCAGACAACACATTCAAATCACTTTTTGATGGAAGTTTTTGGTTAAAGTATAAGTCAACAGATTGTGTTGTGTAGTGTTAGAAATTAAAATCAATATTCAATGACGTAATTTAGTTTAAACGCACAGTAAGCTTTGTCGTAGCAGCTTTAAATCAGCTGGGGTCTAGAGAGAATAACCAGTTAGGTGACAAACGTACAGCCACACCATGTTCGTATTGAAAGCAATAAGGATCTTTATATTTGCAAGTATGTACTGTTCTGAGTGAAACAGGCTCTCTTTATGGGAGGACATCAAAGCAGATTTGCATTACAACAACATTCTGGGAGGCCAGCTGATACCCCCTCTGGCACTATGCAAAACCATCTCACCCTACAAGACAGTGAGATATACACAGACACTGTATGCAAAACCATCTCACCCTACAAGACAGTGAGATATACACAGACACTATAAGCAAAACCATCTCACCCAACAAGACAGTGAGATATACACAGACACAGTATGCAAAACCTCACCCCCTAAACGCGTCTGTTGATCACTCATACATTTAAGGTTCACTCTCAGAGAGATGACCTAATCAGAGAAACTAAGACAATGAGAAAGAGGAGGGAAGTTCCCTCCTTACGTCACCGCCCACCATTGATGAGGAGGAGTCACCACTAAGATATAGAGAGAGGTGACGGAGCTCGAGAGACACTTCTTCTTCTTCACCACGAGACTTCACCCCTTCACCCCGGCGAGGCAACAGCTGCTCTGCCTCTCCTCTTACCCTCTGCTTGTTGTATCATCGTGCCATTTAATTAAACTCAACCAATTTGAACCTTTCCGGAGACTCCATTAGTCTCTTCATTCTAAGCTTCTCTCCTGGGCGCGAGAACAACGAATACTTCTAACAGTAGACCTTTGACATGACTGATAAAAGGAATACTTACAAAAACACCTACTAACGTCACAAAGTAATCTACCAGCAATAATCCATTGCATTGCGTTGTGGCAAATGTTGAGGATGGTTCAATGTCTTCCTGCAGTCTCTGGACTGGACCACCCTGTGCTTTTTAGAAGGATACCTCTGCATTTGAAACCCCTCCTGGTCCTATTCAAATTATTAAGGATTATTTTCACCCAAGGCAACTGTTGGTCTGGAACATCAGGTCTTAGGCAGCCTAAAGACTCTGACCAAACCGACGCCAAAATCATACTTTTGACTGAGCTTCTGTTAATTGCATCACGGTTCTGCTTCTTGGCAAAAAATACACTACAGCCAGCAGCCAACTATCACTCATGTTCTTGCACCTGCCTGATAGGAAATAACTCAACTTAACAGCAGGCAGCAGTAGACTGTATTTGCACAATTACTACTCCAGTTAGAGTATAAACATCTTGAGTAGAAAGTCACTTAAAAAAATAAATACTGACACACTGCTGTCTTTTTATCATTATGTTTATTTCATTCATCTGCTTCATAACTAGCAATGAGCATTACATTACATTTTATTCAAAGCAACTTACAATAAGTGTAATAAACCATAAAGCAACACACAATCAGAAACATGCAGGTATATACGCTTCAAATAAACCATTGTAATTGCTGGTGCATTGTTTTAAAATGGTCCTAACCATTTCAGTGCTTCAATCTTTTCTTTGGTTTGAGTTTAAAGGCCAAGGTATACAAGTGACACAGGTAGGTTTTCTGTTTGTGACAAAGATTGGTGACCTGCTATGTCAGCACAACCAATGTAAATTCCCTCGGCAGAAAGAAAGGCCGGCATCCGATCATGAGGTGCTCTAAATGAGGAGAACAGTCCGAATAAATAATCCCCACATCCGAGCACCAGTTATTGTTCACCATAAAGCACACACCTCCCTTACTTTTCCCTGAGTTTACAGTCCGGTCCTGGCGAGAAATAGTAAATCCGTCGGGGACAATGACGGAGTCCGGGATAGAGGAGTTGAATGCAAAACATGTGGCACAAAAAGCACAGGCAGCAATGCAAAGCAATGAATTTCCTGCGTATATGATTCAGTTGTTGTGATTTGATTCTGTGCGCTGGAATCTGTATCTTGATTGATACACGGCTTGCAAAATGCTGGTAGTCATAATTTTGACTAGAAATATAGCCTTTATACTAAAAAACAACCAGAAAGGTATTTAGCTCCCTCTATATTTTCACTGATGGATGGCAGTAGTCTTGCAGCCAGAGAGTAGGCGGACACCTGTGCCCTGTACTAAGAAGCAGGATTAGCGGTTAGCGAGGTGATTTCAGGGTCGGTCCTACGACGCTGGTTCACTTCTTACCGGGGTAGCTTATGCTGAACACACAGCAGGTTATATCTCTCACAGGCTCCGCCCTCTACTGGACTCTATGGGTACTACCTTATCATGCAAGCATTCACCTACTGAGATTTCTATAGACGTAGCCGGCCCGGGGCGGGCCTACCTAAATGCGTGCGCATCTCACTTCCATATAAAAGGAGGCCTCGCCTCCTGACCACCATCCTTTACTCTTCAGCAAGCGGAGGTGATAGCCTAGCACTGAGTCCGAGACGTATTATTTGAGAGAAAGGAAGAAAGTAAACGAGTATTTTTTGAAATCATGCCCTGGATTAAATAGCGGGCGTCGATCCCCACCACCTCTGCTTCGAGTGTGCCAGGATATGGCCGAGGCGTTGCAATTCACGTTCACCATTCCTTCCTTCCATGGAAGTCCACCGCCCAGGGCTGTACTCTCCCTGGATGATGATCATGGCGGCGGGTGTGTGGGCTACTCGCTCATTGCTAGAGATGCCCCCGCCTCACAAGGTCAGAGCGATTATTGGGCCGCAAGGCCGAATAAGTAGCTTGGTCCACGGGCCTTGCCCCAGGCCTCGGTGGCTTCACATGATATAGGGGCGACCCTACTTCATCACAGGCCGCCGCCGCTGCCTGCCGTGTGATGTCCCTGGGATATCACGCTGCATGGCACTTTCCAAAGAGGACCGTGTTGATCTCCTGGGAGCCCCCGTGTTTACGGAAGGGCTCTTTGGATCGATCTCCTTGCTCACGGGATAAGGAGTAATCGCAGCGTGGCTGCTTCTTGCCCATCCCCAGAGGAAGAAACACTGTCATACACTCCCCGCCTCTGCTGTAAACCCCAGTATAGGGAGCCAGCAGGTGGGTATGTGCACGTGAGTGGGATAAACCGAGTGCTGTCAAAGCACTGTGCGGGTTCAAGAGACGCTATTGCCGGCGTGCTGTTGTCAGAAAACACACCTTGCCTGGTATAATAGCTCCGATTAATGCATTTCACCGTTGAATGGGAAATACAGCGTTAATACGTGGGCGCGCGGCCCTCGTAAGAGTGGCCGCGGTGCGTTCAGGAACCTCTGCATTCAGTAAACACGGTTGCATTTATCCCAGAGTAAGAGTCATCTCTCTCCACAATTCCACTTTTTCCCATAATGTCCGTTTCAAAGAGAGGGCATTGTGACGGCGCGCACGGCCCCCCTCCCCTGAGGGCAGGCCGCGGTGCGTTCAAAGACCTCAGTAGAGAGAAGAGTCACCGCTGCAGACGAGAGAGCCCTCCATACTATAGTCCCTACACACTCTGCACAGGGTCAGTGGCGGAGTGGGGGGACATAGGGGGCACTTGCGTTCTCCCCGTGCTCTTTAGGGACTGAGGAGGGAGAGTGCAGGGCTGCGGACTTTCCCTGTCTGCCTATGGGCAGACGCACGGGAGTCCTTAGCACTATTTTTGAGCACACTTTTTTGCGAGGCAAGCGCGTCAGGGTGTGCTCTATCGGCCGCAGCCCGGACTTCTCCAAGGTTACAACCGAGGGAGAGGTGAGTGAGGCACAGTGGCTGCTAAAGCCGGTCAGGGACAGTGAGGTGGAACGGTGTGCTGGACGACAGTGCGTGCATACATCGGGGCTCCGCCCACTGTACCCATAGAGTCCAGTAGAGGGCGGAGCCTGTGAGAGATATAACGCCGGGTTACGTATTGTAACCCTTGTTATATTAACACAGGCGGAGCCCTCTACCTTGGGGGCACTGTCTGTCCTATACCGCTCGCTGAAGAGTGGTGTAGGATGGTGGTCAGGAGGCGAGGCCTCCTTTTATAGGGAAGTGAGATGCGCACGCATTCAGGTAGGCCCCCCCCCCGGGCCGGCTACGTCTATAGAAATCTCAGTAGGTGAATGCTTGCATGATAAGGTAGTACCCATAGAGTCCAGTAGAGGGCTCCGCCTGTGTTAATATAACAAGGGTTACAATACGTAACCCGGCGTTATGTTCCAGATAAGAGATCAGCGTATAAAAGCTCTGCCTATTGACCAATGAATTCTCTGTGTAAATGAT